TGAGTGGATGAGAAGTGATTGGACCATATCCAATAAGGTTCGGTTCCTCCTTTCCGACACACCGTTTAACTATGGTGTAGCGGGAGGGGCTAATTGTGATACTATTCCATTGTCCTTTAAGTAGTCCCTGAAGTCGTCAGAGAGATACTCACCACCTCGATCTGATCGAAGGGTTTTAATTTCTCTCTCTAACTGTTTATTGACTTATTGTCTGAACTCCTTGAGCTTTTCAAAGTACTCAGACTTATGTCTCATTAGGTACACGTAACCATACCGAGAATAATCCTCGATAAAGGTTATGAAATAAATGTGCTAATTACGTGTCCTAACATTTAGGGGACCAGATATATCAGTATGTATCAGGTCAAGTGTGCCTGTAGATCTTTCAGGCTTACTGTTAAATGGTCGCTTCGTCATCTTACCTTGAAGGCAAGGTTCACAGGTTGAAAGATCTTCTACGGTTAGAAAATCCAAAGGACCATCCTTTACCAACCTTGTGATACGATCTATGTTAATGTGGCCAAGTCGGTAATGTTGGTTTCCAGAGAGGGATGGAGAACATAGAGACAATTCTCAAGTTCCCCATATGCTAGGAATTTGTTATTTCGTTTAATAGTAATTACATTACTAGACAAAATAGAATAACCATCCATATACAATTTTGAGACAAAAATCAAATTTCTTTTTAAATTACGTACAAAAAGACAATCTTTCAGTACAATAATCCATTCTCTGAAAACTAATTCTACAATGCCTGGCCGTAGTTGCAATAGTTGCAAAAGTCCCCAAGAAAAGTGTCACTTCTCCACCACTCAGTCTTCTGCTTATCTTGAACCCTGCAGTAAGTTATACGCATGAGTTGAAGCCCCGGAGTCAATACACCAGGAAGCAGAAGTGACAAACAGATTGGTCTCTATGATGAAAGAATCGAACATACCTTGTTTCTTCGTCTCCAAGTATTAAGGGCAATTCCTCTTCTAGTGGCCGGTTTGCTTGCAGAAGTGATAGGCATCCGATTCCTTATCTTTCTTCTGCTTTTTAGTTTTGCTACCCTTCTTCTGAGCCTTCCTTTTAGTCTACTGTTTTTTTTTGCCCAATTTGCCACATTCAACAAACATGGCTATCGGTTTGTCATTCTTAATCAGTTCTTCAGCCCTCTACAACATATTGTTGTGTTCTTGAAGGCTAACGTTTAGCTTATTCATGTTGTAATTCATGATAAATTGATTAAAGGATGGAGGCAAGGAATTGAGAACAACATCAATTTTGGTGTCATGATCTAGCCCTGGCCCGAGAGCCTCCAATTCATTAACTTAACCCATCTTCTTTAGACAATGGTCACGAACTTGTTGGTTCTCGGTCATCTGTGCGGTCATAAACAATTTTAAAACCCTTTATCAAATAGGACAGTTCTGCTCTTCGTACATAGTCTTCGGACTATCCAATATATCCTTGGACACTTCAATCTTATCAAGTTGTCGCTGTATCAGATTGTCTAAAGAGGCTATAATATAACACTAGGCAAGAGAAAATTTCTCTTCCCATTCTTGATACTCTCTCCTTCGGGCCTCAGAAACCCTGTCACCCCAATGATTCAGAGCAGGGTTCTTAGAAAATTTGTCCAATTTCTCAAATGTCAGAACCAGCATAAGGTTTCCGAACCAGTCAACATAATTAGGGCCCTTGAGTTTGTTATCATCCAACAACTTGGTGAAGTTTCCGTTTGCCATTTCTGGTAAAGGCAAAACAGATTTATAAGTGCACAACCTAATTGATTCATGTCATCACATAGAAAGAGCTTTTAATCTATGCTCCATTTCTATTTTGGGCATCTCTGAGATTCCCTCCAATCTCAGTGACGGAGATAGTTGTGTTTCTAAAAATGTGAAAAACCACATGGGGTGCATGGAGCCAACTATTCTATGTACACTGTCCTCATCGTGTTGTCACTTATGCTTGCCAACTTCGAAAGTGCGTCGGCCTTGGCATTCTCTAACCTCGGTACTTGTCGGATAAACTAGGAGAGGAAGGAGGGCAGGAGTTCCCTTTCTTTGGTCAGATAATCCATCATGGCAGGTTCCTGAGCCTTGTATTCACCATTTACCTGGTTCACAACCAAATGGGAGAGCGTACTCCATTTACCTGGTTCTCGGGCCTCATACTCTGCCTTGTTGTTTGACGCTTCAAATCTAAACCGGAGAGCATATTCCAACTTTACCTCGCTCGGCCTGTACAATACGAGTTCAGCACCGCTTCCTCACTAATTAGATGAGCCGTCAATGAAGAGGATCCAGGGCTCATCGTCCCAGGTCAGCCCTCCCTAACCAGAACCAGTTCCACATCGGTTAACACCTCCAACGTACTAATTCGCTTAGCCATTTTAGGGGCCGGTGTGCTGAACGTGCACTCCGCAACAAAATCCACTAAGACTTGGGCTTTAATCGCTGGGCGTGGCTTGAACCGGATGTCGTACTCGCTCGGCTCGATGGCCCACTTCGTCAGTTCGCCTAATACCTCAGGTTTCTGCAAGACGTGGCTCAAAGGTTTGTTGGTCAGGACGATGATTGTGTGAGCTTGGAAGTAAGGGCGTAGCTTCCAAGTTGCAATGACGAGGGCATATGCCAGCTTCTCGATATCGGGGTATCTAGTTTTAGATGCCTGCAAGACTTTACATACATAGTAGATGGGTCGTTGGACCCGGTCTACTTCTCTGATCAGTACCGAGCTGACCACCTTGTCACTCGTAGAGAGGTATAGCCTCAGATCGCTCCTACTTCAGGTCACGTTAAAATCGGTGTATTAGGTATTTCTTCAACTCATCAAATGTGAGCTGGCACTCTTCGGGTCATTTGAAGTCCTCATTCTTTTTAATTGCTTTGAAGAAGGGTAGGCACTGACCCACCAATTTAGACAAAAACCCGTTTTGGGTGTTTACCCGACCGGTTAACCTTTGTACTTCTTTTATTTTTTGGGGTAGTCTCATATTCAGTATAGCCTTTATTTTATCCAGATTGGCCTCGATGTCACGTCAGTTCACTATATAGCTAAGGAATTTGGCCGACGTTACCCTGAAGACACATTTGTTCGGGTTAAGCTTCATGGTAAACTTTTTTAGAATTTGGAAAACAGAGTTTAAATCATCAAGCAAAGAATTTAAAAACTGGGTCTTCACGACCATGTCATCTACGTAAAATTCAACTTTATTTCTAATCAAGGGTTCAAAAATCTTATTTACAAGGCACTTGAAGGTTGCTCCAACATTTTCAGTCTGAAGGGCATTACTTTATAACAGTACAGCCGTAGTTCGGTTACAAATGTAGTCTTCTCCTACTCAGTTAAGTCCATCTTAATTTGATTGTAACCGAAGTAGGCATCCATGAAGATCAACAACTCTTGCCCCGAGGTCGCGTCTACCAAGTGATCTATTCTAGGAAGAGGGAAGCAATCATTCGGGCAGGCTCTATTGAGGTCAGTGTAGGCGACGCACATGCGCTACTTTCCATTGGCTTTCTTTACGAGCACCGGGTTGGCCATCCAACTCGGGTATTGGACCTCTTTAACGAAATCTGCTGCGAGGAGATTCCCGACCTCCTCATCAACTACCCTTCACCACTCCGATGCGAGGTTCCTTTTTCTTTGTCTAACTGGTCTAACTAAGGGATCTCTGTCGCGGACCAAGCAAAAACATTTAAATTACTAAGTAAGAAACTTAATAGTTGTGATCGAAGCGGTTCGCTTAGCAGAGCGCCGATCTGGAGGGTCTTCGTTGGCTCGACATCGAAGACCGAGACCTGGATTGTCTCTTCCATTGGGGCAGCTCGCTCTTCCGTGTGCTCGGGGGTGGTTCTAGTTCGATGTTGTTTGCCAACTTTGCCCTACCCTTTAGTGCGGCTACGTAACACTTACGTGACTCCAACTGGTTGCCTTGTACTACTACTCCGTAGCTCGTCGGAAATTTCATAGACAAGTAGTAAGTCGACACCACCGCACGTAGGGCATGTAAGATGGTGTCAGCATCCCATTTTTGCTCAGGCCGCCATCTGAGCATCCGATGGTGTCACTCAAAAACCCAGAAAACCCAAGTTTCACCCCAAGATCCCTCAAATCCACTGTTAAACCTGTATGATACCAATCCGATGGCCCCAATCGACCCCTACTTACACCTTAACCACTAGATCTAACACAACCATCAGACCAAGATCTCCCAAAACACCTACCCATAAAATTTCAACTCAAGATCCCCCTATTTACTCCCTTATCAAACAAAGATTCCATTTTGATCTCCCTCATTAACCTAAACACTCATTACCTAGATTACCTTGATCTTGACACACCTGAACTGATCAGACCACACCTTTAGACTCTGGACACCCATGAAGTTTCAACCCTAGCTTCTCTCATTTGTCCCTCCATCAAACCAAGATTCCACTTCGAAACATCTCATTGACCCAAATTCTTACGATCTTGACCCTCTAAGACTGATCAGACTTCATCATCAGATCGTGGATACCTCCAAATACCCACCTGTAAAATTGCATCCCAAAACACCTTCGCTTACTCCTTCATCGAACATAGATTCCATTTTGAAGCTCCAGATTAGCCAAATCAATCCCTTTCCAGATCTGCCTGATCCGGGCCCAGTTTGGCCAATCTGACCCTGCTAATCAACCAAGAGTCCCCGGAACCCCCACCTTGCCAAATTCTAGCCATAAATATCCACATTTACCCTTCCATCTTAAAAGATTCCATTTTGATCAATCTTGCTAACCCATTAACACCAACCCACTCTGTGGCCAGACCCATCTCAACCCTCCATATTTTACCCAAAATCTAAGCCATCCATCAAGAACTCCAATTTGACCGCCCTCTGACCCGGTTTGACCAGATTTTCCAAACTTACAAAAATACCCCTCGAGTTCTCCAAAATTACGAAAATGCCCCTACCCCCATATATGTACAATCTAAAGTCCACGTTTGCCCAAATGAACTGTTCTCTTCTCTCCCCCTGTTCGAACGAAACCAGCGGCGGCGAACCCTCTTCTCTCCCACTTCCTCTCACCCTCTTTCCTCCCTCTGTCTTCTTCTTCCTCTTCCAACACCGAACTGCCAAAATCGAGTTGAGGAGCAACTGGTCTCCTTCTTCCCCATCCGCAAAAGAATAGAGAACGAGAGATATGGCGATCCGCGGCGAACCAGAGCAGCAGCGGCGAGTTTACTTCATCCCCAGTCTCTCCCTCTCTCTCTATTTTATTTCTGATATTCTTCTTCTTCTTCTTCCCCTCTTCCACCATTTTTTTCTCTGTCTCTCTGTTTTGTCACTGCCGCTGCAACTTGCAGCGGTGGTGGATCTGCCCAGCTCCCCATTTCTGCTTTATGCTTTTTCTCTCCTCCCATCATTCTCTCAGATCATCCATCGTCCTCCGCTCTCTTCCTTGCCTGAACCAAGATCAGTAGCGGCACTCACCAGAGTTAACCGAAATGCATCATTGATCGATCGGAATCGACAAAGGGCATTCATATTAGTTGACTGAGGTTTCTTTAATCCGAGCTTACATTCTCAATTTGTCGGCAAGACTCACACTCAGACAGAGGTCTCGTTTCCACCAACCCCATGACTGCAGTCCACCTAGGTCATTCCCGTCCAATGGAGAATCCTCTCGGCGTTGATACACATTTCTCCGCTATAACATTCTACTTCAAATCGTAATCTCAGCCGAAATTCTCTGTTCTCGTGATGAATCAGGCCGAAAACCCATCTCAGGTAACTTCTAATTTATTCTGCATTTTTTTCTTTAGATTTCAATTTTAGTTTTCTCACTAATGTTGCATTTGACTGACGATAATTGGGGATGATGGTGAAGTTCTGTTAAGCCCTTTTCCGTGAATTTTAGCCGGTGCCGGAGTGGACAACGCAACCTCTGTAACCGAGTTTTAGGGACGGTAATAGGATTAATTACCGCCTAAGGGTTTCGAATAGATTTAATTTAGTTATTCCTTATTTTATTTTATTTTATTTTGTGATGTTGATAATAATGGCTCTATCGTTCTGTTTTTGCTATCTTCATGTTGATCATTGCTATTGCTGTGATTTGAGATCGATATATGTATTTTACACATTTTTTATTGTCTCATATAGTTTTTATGGATAAATTTTAATGGTTCTTACCCTAAAATGTACTGAATTTTAGGAAAATGGGACTTTGGAACAGCTTTGGGGTGATGGAGCAATAAGACATGGCCATATCTTATCAAGGAAGCACTTCTGCCTGAGTAGGAAAAAGACACACCCTCTTGACACAGCCGTGTGCTATCTGGGAGGTTCCACTATGCGAAAATATGAAGAGGACACGGCCATGTGTTAATTCGACGTAGCCGTGTGCGACTAAATTGGCAGAATTCGGGTAAAATTAGGACTTTAAAACTGCAAAAAAAGGGTATAAAAGCAAGGGGAAAGGAAAAAAGAAGGGATTTTTCTTTTCACAAAAACCCCATGAGAAGCGCTTGGAGGAGGATTATTAGGCTTCCGAAGGAGAATTGGAGAGAAGATCGGGACTTCAACGCAATGATTTTTAGGTTGTCTTCTATAATTCAACGATTTCGGGAACCCATGTTTAGTTAGTTTTTATTTCTTCTTCAATTAAGATAAAGATTGATTTTATTTCAATTATGTAATTACTCTTTTAATTTAATTCAATTGATGTTTATTCAATTATTGGGATTCCTTGATTAGGGTTCGTAATATTAAGAGTGATTTTGGCCAAGTTGCTCTTATTTCATGAGATTACCTAGATTGCTTGAGAAAGAGTTTAGGTAATTGGAATAATTAATCAAGGGAACGAATTGAATGTATCTTAGAGATAATTTACATGATTTGTTTGGCATACATTTAGTAAGAGCTGATGTCATTTGATTTTTGCCATTAATGCATCTACATAAATTAAACACTTGATAGAGATATAGGGGTTATTACATGTTAGATGGATTGGCATGTGCTCGAATGAGACTTTTCATGACAATAGGGAAATTGCCAAACCATAATTGGAATTAATATCAGTTGGGTATTTTAATAAGATAAGTTACGGAATTGATTTTAAGATCAATTGAGTTATCGTGAGTAATTTCTCTATTTAGTTAGGGTGATTTAATTCGAGAGCAATTAGTATAGATAGATAATTAGGAATTAATTAATCAATTTTCAGATTATCAGATAACATAAGGTAAATTTAGTACAAGTAGTTGTTGGATTAATCCTCGTGGGAACGACACTTAATTTACTCATCATTATATTACTTGATCGGCTAGTGCACTTGCTAGTATAGTTTTAAGTGCATCAAGTTTTTTGCGCCGTTGCCAAGGATTATCATAACAATATTAGGAATAATTTACTGTTGTTAATCTAATAGTATTTAGTATATTTTTATGTTGTGCGTTATAGTATTTTTACGACTTTGACTTGTTCAGTATATGACACGCAACAGTGGGAATGAGAGCATCGTCTACGATCCGAAGATTGACAGAACTCTTCACCGTCGTCTTAGAGCCTTGAAGCAAGGGAAAGCTAAAAGAACGAAGATGGCCGAGCAAAGGACTATGATGGACTATGCCAAGCCAACTCTCACTGGTGCAGCCTCGAGCATAGAGAGACCGGCTATAGCTGCCAATAACTTTGAAATCAAATCGACAATCATCCAGATGATTAAGAACACTGTTCAATTCTGTGGATTGGCTAATGAGGACCCGAACACTCACATCGCTGACTTCTTGGAGATATGTGACACCTTCAAGCATAACGGAGTTAGTGATGATGCTGTGAGACTTAGATTGTTTCCTTTTTCTTTGAAGGACAAGGCTAAGACTTGGCTCAACTCTCTACCAGCTGGATCGATCTCAACTTGGGATGAAATGGCCAGTCGCTTCCTAGCCAAGTATTTTCCTCCATCCAAGACTGCAAATATGTGGAATGACATCACAACTTTCACTCAGCAAGATGGGGAATCATTATATAAGTCATGGGAGCGCTACAAGGAACTATTGAGGAAGGTCCCACATCATGGACTTCTTGTTTGGCTCTAGGTTCAAACATTCTACAATGGACTAACTGAGGCAAATAAGACCATCATGGATGCGACAACTAGAGGATCCATTAACAACAAGACACCTGAGGTTGCTCATGCACTTATTGAAGAGATGGTTGCAAATAATGATCAATGGCACTCCGAGAGGGCTCAAGTTAAGAAGCAAGCTGGCATTCACAATGTAGACACTTGTACAATATTATCTGCACAAATGAGAGCTCTTAGCAAGAAGATAGATGACATGCAGCTTACAACCATGCAAGTTCAAGCAGTGCCTGTGAATGGTGTTGGGGAGGTCATGTCAGTACTGAGTGCCAAGTTGGAAATCAATTCATGAGCTCTATAAGCAAGTGGATTTCGTAGGGAAATTTTCGAGACAATAAGATAACCCCTACCTTCGTGCCTTTAACTCCGGATGGAGGAATCACCGTAATATTTCATGGTCATATCAAAATGTGGTGAAACCCCCTCCACAACTGATGACTAAATTCATATCGAGTGCGGAAACAAGATTTCAGAATCAAGAGGCATCGATTAAGAATTTAGAAACTCAAGTAGGGCAGTTAGCACAAATGATATCCACTAAAGTCCAAGGTGCTTTGCCTAGCAATACAGAGGCAAATCCAAGGGAGCAAGTGCAAGCTATTACCTTGAGAAATGGTAAGGAGCTGAAGAAGGTGGAATAAAAAACAAAAGAAGGAGGTAAGATGGATGCCACTCTAGAAACTGAAAAGAATGAGGAAGAGCAGTCGGATTCAAGGGAGGAAAAAAGTCAAAAGCCACAAGTACCATTTCCTGATTGGCTTAAGCGACACAAAATGGAAAAGGAATTTGGTAAGTTTCTTGAAATTTTTAAAAGTTTACATACTAACATTCCTTTTGCAGACGCCTTAGCCCAAATGCCGCATTATGCAAAGTTCTTTAAGGAAATCTTGGCAAACAAAAGGGAATTGGGAGAAGTGGCTACAGTTGCATTGAATGAATAATGTTCAACAATCCTTCTCAACAAGCTGCCTTAGAAACTAAAAGATCCAGGGGGTTTTACTATTCCTTGCACTATAGGTAGTTTAAAGATCAATAAGGCATTGTGTGATTTAGGAGCTAGTATAAATTTGTTGCCCTATTCTGTTTTTAAGAAATTAGGGCTAGGTGAGCCCCAACCTACTAGAGTTGCATTGCAATTAGCTGATATGTCTATCAAGCATCCTAGGGGAATTATAGAAGATGTCATTGTTAAGGTTGATAAATTTATTTTTCCCGTGGATTTCATAGTATTAGATATGGAGGAGGACGTTGAGGTCCAACTTATTCTAGGGTTACCCTTCCTAGCTACAAGAAAGGCAATGATAGATGCCCAAAAAGGACAATTAATCCTTAGAATTTAAGATGAGGAAGTAATTTTTAAGATGTCTGATGCTATGAGACATGTACCATCTAGTGATGATTCATGTTATATGATAGATGCTATTGACTATGTTGTTGGTGAGTGTTTTCAAGTCAATAGGTCAGCCGATCCCCTTGAGTTATGCATACAAGAAGGGGAAACAATAATTGAAGATGATGAAGAAATTCAGAGCCTGTTAGCATACTTAAACGCTAATCCTCAGTTTCAGGGAAAGAGGTTCATCAAATTGGAGAGCTTGGACAGACCCTCAAATTCAAAAAGCAAGTATTCGATTGAAAATCCGTCCACCCTTGAGCTAAAACAACTCCCACTACATCTAGAGTATGCCTTTTTAGAAGCACCTTCATCTTTACCGGTGATTATCTCATCAGCCTTGACTCCCTTGCAGAAAGAAAAATTGTTACGGGTGCTAGGGGAACACAAGACAACTCTAGCTTGGAAGATAGCAGACATTAAGGGCATCAATCTATCCATATAAACTCATAAGATTCTGATGGAGGATGGATACAAGCCCACAGTTCAACCCCAAAGACGTCTTAATCTGAACATGAAATATGTGGTGAAGGCGGAGATTATCAAACTATTAGATGCATGTATTATCTACCCAATCTCAAATAGCTCATGGGTAAGCCCTTTCCAAGTAGTACCAAAGAAATGAGGCATGACTGTAGTGCCTAATGAGAAGAATGAGCTCATACCGACTAGGACGGTTACCGGATGGCAAGTGTGCATTGATTACAGAAAACTAAATGACACCACATGCAATGATCACTTTCCTCTACCTTTCATCGATCAGATGTTAGAAAGACTAGATGGTCATGAGTTCTACTGTTTTCTAGATGAATACTCGGGCTACAATCAAATTCCGATTTCACCCAAAGATCAAGAGAAGACCACCTTCACCTGTCCTTATAGCACCTTTGCCTATAGGAGGATGTCGTTTGGATTCTCCAGCAACATTTCAGATGTGTATGATGAGTATATTTTCTGATATGGTGGAGAAGTTTATGGAGATTTTCATGGATGACTTTTCAATTTTTGGTTCTTCCTTTGATGCATGCCTATATAACTTGGAAAAAGTACTCAAGCGTTGCAAAGAAACTCATCTAGTGCTAAATTGGGAAAAATGTCATTTCATGGTGCAAGAAGGTATTGTATTGGGACACAAAGTCTCACAAAAAGGGATCAAGGTTGATAGAGCTAAGGTGGAGACAATTGAGAAATTACCACCATCAACATCTGTCCAGTCCGTGAGAAGCTTCTTGGGGCACACAGGATTCTATAGAAGATTCATTAAGGATTTCTCTAAGATAGCTAAGCCTCTGTCCAATCTACTACAGAAAGATGTACCTTTCGATTTTACAAAAGAGTGCTTAGAAGCATACAATATCTTGAAAGATAAGTTGACTCATGCACTGATCATAGTAGCACCGGATTGAACACTTCCCTTTGAGTTGATGTGTGATGCGAGTGATTCAGTGGTTGGAGTTGTTTTAGGACAGAGAGTGAACAGGAATTTTCAGCCCATTTACTATGCTAGCAGGACCTTGAATGAAGCTCAACAGAATTACACCACGACGAAAAAGGAGCTATTAGTGGTAATTTTTGCTGTTGATAAATTTTGCTCTTATCTAATCTTGTCCAAAGTTGTTTATACAGATCACTCAGCTCTTAGACATTTACTTGAAAAGAATGATGCAAAGCCAAGGCTAATCAGGTGGATCTTGTTGCTTCAAGAGTTCGATGTCGAAATCTGTGATAAAAAGGGCACTGAGAACCTTGCTGCAGACCATCTCTCCCGTTTAGAGGATTCAGATTTGGGAGGGAAGACCACGAGCGCCCTTTGAGATGAATTTCCTAATGAGTAGCTCTATTCAATTCAGGTAGATACATTGCCTTGGTATGCTGATTTTGCCAATTTTCTCACTGGAAATGTTCTTCCTCATAATCTTTCATATCAACAAAAGAATAAATTCTTCTCTGATGTGAAACATTATTTGTGGGAGGACCCCTTTTTGTATAAGATTTGTGCAGATCAGATCATTTGGAGATGTGTTCCTGACGACGAGATGGAGTCCATGCTCAGATGTTGCCATGACCGAGAAGCGGGAGGCCATTTTGGAGCCAACCGCACAGCAACCAAAGTGCTACAATCAGGTTTGTATTGGCCCAATTTATTCAAGGATGCCCATAGGTATGTGTCCGCATGTGACCAATGCCACAGAACATGTAATTTCTCTAGACACAATGAAATGCCTTTTACCAACATATTAATATGTGAAATCTTTGATGTATGAGGTATTGATTTTATGGGACCATTCCCAAATTCTTTTGGAAATAAATACATCCTAGTTGTTGTCGACTATGTGTCTAGATGGGTGGAAGCTATGGCCCTACCCACAAATGATTCTAGGAGAGTAGTCCAATTCCTTAAAAAGATATTCACTCAATTTGGCACACCACGCGCTATAATTAGTGATAGGGGGACTCATTTTTGTAATACTCAATTTGAGTGTTTGATGCAAAAGTATGGTGTCACACATAAATTAGCTACCCCATATCACCCTCAAGCTAGCGGCCAAGTCGAATTAGCTAATAGGGAATTAAAAAGAATTTTGGAGAAAACAATAGACTCTTCAAGAAAAGATTGGTATGTTAAGTTAGATAATGCATTATGGGCATATCGAACCGCATACAAAACACCTATTGGCATGTCCCCATATAGGTTAGTTTTTGGCAAACCATGTCATTTACCCATTGAAATTAGGCATAAAGCATATTGGTCCATGAAGTTATTGCACTTTGATTTGCAGGCCGCAGGTAAAACGCGACGAATGCAACTCAATGGGATGGATGAATTCAGATTTGCAGCTTATGAGAATGCCAAGATATATAAGGAACGAACCAAACGATGGCATGACAAGAATCTATAGAGGCGTGATTTTCAAGTAGGTCAGCAAGTACTCTTATATAATTCACGCCTTCGTTTGTTCCCAGGTAAGCTGAAATCGAGGTGGTCCAGACCATTCACTATATCACAAATCTTTCCTCACGGAGCTATAGAGGTCACGCACCTAGAACAAGGCACGTTTAAAGTCGACGGTCAGTGCCTAAAACCATATATAGTTGATGGAGCATTGCCTACCCCATCAACTGTATACCTTGATGATCATTGATCACACCGGGATGTTGAGCTTTAGACAGAAAACAAGCGCTTATTGGGAGGCAACCCAATGTCAATAAATAGTTTTTATTTTTTATTTTTATTCTCTTTATTTCTTCTTCATTATTATTATTTCATTGATTTTTTTTTGTTTTCTACTTTCATTGATTTCTTACATTTTGTTTTTACAAGGATGCTCATTTTTAGGTAGAGATTTCTAAACTTTAATACTAGGTGAAATTTTTGAGTAGTTAAGAAAAAAAAAAAACACATGTGTACTAGTTTGTTTTTAATTCTCTTCTCCTAGTTTCTTTTTGGTTCTTAGCAGTTAAATTGTACATGACAAAGAGCACAATTCATATATCACAAAGCTATTCAGGGAAGATCTCTCAATTCACCTTCTTCAGATTCTTGAGTTCCTTCTTTCTACACTTCCCATATATTGTCTTTGTGCATTATTGATATGAACATTGAGGACAATATTCATAATAAGTGTGGGTGGAGGATATGATTATGCACTTGCATGCATGTTTGAAAACATTGATAAGTATTGATAGGCCGCACAAATTGGTAAGTTCCTCAGAATTAATTGTTGTCTATGAAGTGAATTCATGAGAGAGAATTTGATGAAGTTTGAGGGAAAAATATTCATAAATGTTATGATTTGTTTTTGTGACTTATTCAATTTTATCATAATACATGAGGATTAAGAAGTTAAATATGATTTTTATCATGGCCAACATTAATTCTATTCATGTGTATAGTTGTACTTGATTGAAGTTTTAATGGACACTCGAGCATTTTGGTGAACATCTTAGAATAGTAAGGAAGCAAAATTGTCCTTGGACAAAGTCTGAACTACTCCGCTGTCATGAATTGAATAGTAAAACTAGCAGTTCATGATATGAGTTCCGTCTCAATGCCACTATTTCAAGTTGAGTAGTAAAACTAGCAACTTGGAATATGAGTAATGTTATATCTACCTCTAACCATTGTGAGATGGAGCATAAAATGCACTCACAACCCTTCAAAAAAAAAAAAAAAAGATATGTGGTGACGGTTGAGGTTCAAGGGGACAAAAATATAGTTGGAAATTATTTTTAGTGCATTAACAGAACCTAAGATCAAGCTCGATGTGATGGTGATTCATGAAATTAAGTCAAGGAGCTATTATATACTTAATGGAATTGAGAGTTAGAACATGAAGAATTTCATGTTTTTCTTCCTTCATCCTTGTGTATGTGGTGAGAGTGGATTGTCATGGGAATGAATTAGAATGTTTATGTATGATTTCCGATTACTTAACACATTTTCATCTCAGAATTCATAAAATAGATAGGATTAATTTGGGGGAATGATTAATTTATGATTATTATCTTTGCTTGAGGACAAGCAAAAGCTTAAGTGTGGGGGTATTTGATGTGTATGTATTTTATACACTTTTTATTATCTCATATATAGTTTTTATGGATAAATTTTAATGGTTCTTACCCTAAATGTGCTAAATTTTAAGAAAATGGGAGTTTTGAATAATTTTGGGGTGATGGAGCAATAAGACATGGCCATGTCTTATCAAGGAAGCACTTCTACCTGAGTAGAAAAAAGACACAACCGTGTGCTATCTGGGAGGCTCCACTGTGCGAAAATATGAAGAAGACACGGCCGTGTGTTAATTCAACACAGCTGTGTGCGACTAAATTGGCAGAATTCGGGTAAAATTAGGACTCTAAAGATGCAAGAAAGGGTATAAAAGCAAGGGGAAGGAAAAAAGAAATGGGATTTTTCTTTTCACAAAAACCCCAGGAGAAGCGCTTGGAGGAGGATTATTAAACTTCCGAAGGAGAATTGGAGAGAAGATCGGGACTTCAATGCAAGGATTTTTAGGTTGTCTTCTTCTTTAATTCAACGATTTCGGGAACCCGTGTTTAGTTAGGTTTTTTTTATTTAGTTTTTATTCCTTCTTCAATTAAGATAAAGATTGATTTTATTTCAGTTATGTAATTACTCTTTTAATTTAATTCAATTGATGTTTATTCAATTATTGGGATTCCTTGATTAGAGTTCGTAATATTAAGAGTGATTTTGGCCAAGTTGCTCTTATTTCATGAAATTACCTAGATTGCTTGAGAAAGAGTTTAGGTAATTGGAATAATTAATCAAGGGAATGAATTGAATGCATCTTAGAGATAATTTACATGATTCGTTTGGAATATATTTAGTAAGAGCTGATGTCATTTGATTTTTTCTATTAATTCATCTACATTAATTAAACCCTTGATAGAGATATAGGGGTTATTACATGTTAGATAGATTAGCATGTGCTCGAAAGAGACTGTTCATGACAATAGGGAAATCGCCAAACCATAATTGGAATTAATGTTAGTTGGGTATTTTAATAAGATAGTTACGGAATTGATTTTAAGATCAATTGACTTATCGTGAGTAGTTTCTCCATTTAGTTAGGGTGATTTAATTCGAGAGCAATTAGTATAGATAGGTAATTAGGAATTAATTAATCAATTTTCGGATTATCAGATAACATAAGGTAAATTTAGTACAAGTAGTTGTTGGATTAATCCTCGTGGGAACGACACTTAATTTACTCATCATTATATTACTTGATCGGCTAGTGCACTTGCTAGTGTAGTTTTAAGTGCATCACTCTACTTATGGGTGATTGATTTAATGCTCTGTTTTATTAAAAGTTTGTTTTATTCAAACTCTCGAGTTAGGGATAGCTATTTTGATTTGTTATATAACAAAATCAGATTTGGAGAAATAACTCCACTGTCACTGAGAATTAGCTCAAGAAGTAGAATAAATAAATAAAAGAGGAGAAAAAAAAACAATAGCTGAATCGAAGATTCATAGGGGATTAAAAAATAAAATATAAAAATATAAGAAAATAAAATAAATAAATATATAATAAAGATGAGTTCTCTTTGGATGCTCTTTTTTATTTGTTTAGCGTTATTGGATACTTATTTGTATTTGTGTTGCCCTTGTTTCAAATTCCTTGTGGTCCCCACCTATTGGACCCGGGAGAGGGGTACCTAATCCCTTCCCTCTCCCATCCGAGTCTTACCCGGATTGGTTAGCCAGTGCTTCGGGCTTTGAAGTCACTAACAAGTCAAAAGTGCTTTCTGGTCTGTATCCCGGAGGTCCCATCACCTACAATTCCGTATTTGATGGGTGGAGACTCCATTTCCAGCCCAAGTGGAAAGTGAGATAGTTTTTTCGACGCTCACAAATGGGTTGACCTAAAATAGCATTGTAGGGGGATGGAGTCGCAACCACTAAGAATGTGTGCTCGAAGTCGTTGATCACAAGCTTGACTACAAGGGCATTATCCTGCACACATTGTCCTTGGTGAAGTAAATTGCTTCCTCTACTCGAGGTCTTTTTGGTGGGTTTTCATCTTCATGCTTGATCTCCCGAATTGAAGTCTTCCCTACTGCTGTGCTTTGCCCTGCAACGATGGACCCACTACTGCTGTGTGGTTTATATATATATATATATATATATATATATATATATATATATATATATATATATATATATATATATATATATATATATATATATATATATATATATTTGTAAAAACAAATTTCAACGTTTGAAATCAACTACCGACAGTTTAGGTTTCCATCAGATAGAGTGCATCCCCAATCATTCACTTTGTCTGACAAAGGGGCTGATCCTGTCACTATGATCATCCACTCAGATGAATTCTCAGATTGTCCCAACATACCTAGGTTTTGACCCCCTCTAAGGATCTTATTGATTGGCATATCAAAGACAACCCAATCTGACACCTAGTGCAGTACCACAATCGAGTCTAGGGCAATACTAGAATTTGGTCCTGTTCAGGGTTTCAAGAAAATCCACACTACATGTACCTCAGGTCTCACCCTGGCAGTTGAGACCTGCCACCCCAATCAACTTGGCGGCATCAGTGTCAGCCTTGGCAGGATAAATCTCCCTAGATCTATCCAACGGCTGTGAAGATTCTAAACTAACACGAGTCTCATATGTGTCCATTTTAAGGGTATTGCACAGAAACACATCAAATCACATGAATCAATTATGCACTTTATTCATTTACAATAAATGACATAATGTACATCAATTTGATTGGTGCTAAGTGCATACACTATCTAACACCTCCTGCTCAGTTTAGGGGTTTCTTTTCGCTAGTCGGCCTATTGGTCTACCGCTTCCCTGTCCTCATGCTTGATAAACTTCTTTAGGTATCCACTACGAATCAACTCTTCAATCTCGTCCTTGAGATTTTGGCAATCTTTCATGCTAGGTCCGATGTCACGGTGGAAATGGCAGTAGACATTCAAGTTTCTCATTGTCGGGTCTCCTCAAATCCTAGGAGACCACTTGACGTAGTCGGTATCCTTGATTGCCATCGGAATCTCAACCCATTTTGCATTGAGGGGGTGTAGGTAGACCTCTGGATTGGAGGGGTCCAAGATCGTTGACCTGACCTAGAACCCCGAGGTGGAGAATTCCTTGGTGACTTGCTCCGCTTGTGTGGAGACTTGCTTCGCTTCGACGACTTACTCTTTCGATTCCAGTGCTTGCTGCTACTGGTGCCTTCATCTTCTCTTTTTCTCTTCTCGCCTTGTTGGACATCCAACTGGGACCCGTGGGCTTCGTTCGGCTGGATGAACTTACCAGCATCCTCGAGGAACTTCTTCATTGTTTTTGGAGGGTTGAACCTGAGATTCCATGAGAACTCAACATGACGGACTCTCTTCTAAGTCGTAGTGAGCTGCACAGTGGGGTCGAGGTTAGGAACTTGTAGGCACTCTGTGTTAAACCTGCTGACTTGAGGCTCACAATTTTCACGTTGCGAACGCTGTTGTTGGTCGGTCTTTCTCTGGCGGCTGTCCTAGGGCCGATCCTTTTGGTTTTCCACTTGGGAAGGTGGCGGTGTGCGCTGACTTGCTACTTGGTCCCGAGGTGGGGTTCGGTCTTGAGGAGGGGCTGGGACATAGAATGTCCCCGCACCCCGGGGAGGAGATCGGAGCATGTTCTGCTATTAATGGTTTTGATTTCGGCTCGAAGGGATGTTTTGATTCTACTTCTG